CTTCATTCTTTCAACCAGACATATTTATTTCTATAAATAAATTTAGATTAATCTTTAGGGCTACTAAAGTTTTTCAGTCAAGAGCAACACGTTCTCCCTACTGTGTACGTTCACTTAAGACGTTATCAACTGTGTTTACGTGAATACTCGTCAAAACGGACAATTCGACATAATTTTGTGTGTGATTCTCCATTCATGCGACGCGAAAGAGTGCTCACGCGCTGTGAGAGGCGCTTTCTGTGTGTGTGTGCGCTTCAGTGTCTGCGCTCAGAAAACCGGACCGAATTGAGTTAACACTGGTGCTCTGGTTACCACATTTTACTAACCAACAATACTCGTCAAAACGGACAATTCGACATAATTTTGTGTGTGATTCTCCATTCATGCGACGCGAAAGAGTGCTCATGCGCTGTGAGAGGCGCTTTCTGTGTGTGTGTGCGCTTCAGTGTCTGCGCTCAGAAAACCGGACCGAATTGAGTTAACACTGGTGCTCTGGTTACCACATTTTACTAACCAACATTGGTCAGCATCACCTCAGGAGCATCATACATCTATTTCACAACATCTGAGATATTTCTGAGAAGTTATTGGCGGCAGTGTGATATTGCTTTGCACTACAGCTCAATCACACACACATCAGACTCGTATTACATGAGTGTTGTAAAAATGCAAGGCAAGTTTTTACAGAGCTTTATTTATATATTTTAGTTTTCAAACTTTGCAATTTAAAATAAACTTTTAAATGTCTGCTCACTAGTCCCATTGAAACACAATTTAAGATAACACTTTATTTTATAGTGTCCTTATTACAAGTTACATGTACTTACTGTAGTATAGCAGTAAATTATGCATAATTACATGCAACTAAACCAAACCCTAATCACTTAAATGTATAATTACACTGTAACAAGTTCACCATAAAATTGCAAAATTGACACTTTAGTAATTATGGTGCTACTAATTAAGTGAAAAAAAAGCAGATGCAAATGTTTTAAAAAATACATATCCACCTTATTTTTCCCGTAAGAGCGGGAAATTTATAAATTATATACATTATTTTAATGTATTATCTTAAACAGTTTAACCGTTTACTGCACGTTGTTATTGTTCTCGTTATTCCCCGACAGCGGCTAATGAACCGGAAGTCTCGCACATTCACAGAAAACAGCTCACCTGTTGAAAAATAAGGTGGATTATATGCACCAATAAAATGTACCAATTTAATAGTGTCACGATGCACACACACGAGGAACGAGGAGACGCTGGAGATACTTTTACCAAGACTTTATTTTCAGGAACCAAGGGAGACGAACTCAGGAAGACGTTTAACAGCGGACAGAGAACTTGGGACTGGGAACACTATTTATACACACAGGAGGAGGGGATGACGAGACACACCTGGGAGCAATGAAACACTAATCAGGGGAGGAACAGGAAACTAACCAAATAAGGGCATGGGAAGGCACATGGGAGCAGGACACACACAAAACATGGAACAGAGTCTGACATAACGCCCCCCTCCGGAAGGCGTGTCCTCACGCCATATAACATCCAATGGGGAGGGGGGGTGGGCACTCTGGAGGTCCCTCAGGAC